TGGACATCACCTCTGGGACATGAAGCCCTCCTGTTTCCCTGGGCCTGGCAAACGTGGGGCTTCTCCAGGGCTTGGTGCTTTCTCTGTGGGAACCTTCAGTGGCCTGTTACCTGCCTTAATCACTCTCTCTTAATTAACAGCCATTGGCAATTCACTTCTATACAGGGAATACGTGGAAAGAGAGGGTTGAAGCTGGAGGGAATGGATCTTGAGGAAGCCCTTAGAGGCTAACAAAGGACCTGCTCCAGTGTCCCCCTTGGTCCCTGACTCTTGGCCTTGCACTGTGCTGGGTGCTGTGCAAGCTTGGTAGCAAGAAGCTGGCCCAAAGACCTACTTCAGGCGCGGTGTTTCCAGCCGCCCTGGGGTTTGTTTTGTTTCACTGACTGGTTTGGCAGGGCACCTGAGGGCCACAGGGAGGCTGGGATGTGCTGTCCGCACGTGAAACTTGACCTTGCTTTCCCCATGCCCCGGGTTTCGGGTCTGCCGTGGGTGTTGTACAGGGAAGAACAGGCTCTGGGGCTGTTTTATCCCGTGCTGAGTGCCAGGAGGACTTCACAAGCCCCAGCAAGCAGCAGATGACTCACTCTGCCTTTGTCAGACCCTGCCCTGGGAATGTGCTGCTTTTCTTCTCATCATCCCTGATGAGTGTGAGCTTTAAGATGGTTCAAGTGAGGTGGAATGAATCCCACCCAAACCCCCTGGGGAAGCTCCCTCTGAGCTCTAACAGCTTCCTCCATGTAGATAAGGCTCTTAGTGACGTGATTTAGTGGTGGTAATGGTTGGACTTGATGATCTTAAAGGTCTTTTCAGCCTACTTGATTCTGTGTTCATAGAATTCCGTATTAACCTACTTGGTTCAGGACATGGAGCACAAATGAGTGACCAGAGGGGAGCTGGAAGGCTCAAGGACAAGCCCAGTATCCTATTGCCATGCAATAGCTTGAAACAAGTGGATGAATTTGTCCAGGTCATCCTGGGGAATGGGGACATCTGAGAGCCTCCATCTTCCCACAGTCAGCAGAGGAGCAACCAAGGAGAAATGGAGCTGCAGGTTAATGGTACCTTTTGGGAAGGTTTCTGCTTGCTGTCTTGAAGCCCACTGCAGTCTGGTTGCTCTGGACTGCTCCTCTTCCAGGCACTTGACCTTGGAGTCCCATGAGTGTGTTTCTTTGGCCTTTGGGATTGCTGACTGCAGTGGCATGATTTCAGTGATAAATAACAGGGGTAGATTGCCTCTGAGTGAGTCTTTATCAGTGGCTGGAGGGAAGGAATAGCAAACAGAGTCAGCAAGTCTGCTGGGATTGAGCCTGAGGCTCAGCCAGAGGCCAGCACCTCCCCACTGCCTGCATCTGCCTTGGTGGTGACTCTTGGCCTCAAGGAAACTCCCAGCTCCTGAGAGGTGACAGTTACCTTGGGTAGCTCAAACACAGGGCACAGAGTGCCAGGGTAACCCTCCAGAGCCATCCATGAGCTCCTGGCCCAAACCTGGAGACGGGCTGCATTGCTGTCCTGCTCCTGGAGCTGCTCTTGTAGGCTGGAAAGTGTGACAGCTTCACGATGGAAAGACGGGATGATCACCTCTGTCAGTCCCTATGGACTCCAGAGAGACCTTGCATAGAGACTTGCCCACTTTCCAGGTGGCCAAAGCCAGTGAAGATGCCTCTTGCCCCACTGCTTGTAATGCTGACACAGATGAATGCTTTGAGGGGGGTGCTTCTTGGAGCAGCTCCTTCCTTTGAGATGGAGCGAGCAGAATAGTCCATTGCATGCCTTCTGCAGCCCAGCACCCACCTCCATTGGCACAGCCTGGTTGTGCTGCCTGCAGTGGTGCTTTGGTATCCACAGCAGCTGAACCTTTGGCTCTGTGTGTACTGGAAAGGAAGAGTCCTGGGGGTTTCTCTGCTAATCCCGCTTTGCAGAGAGTTCCAGAAGACTTGAGGAACAAACAGAAAATAACGTCGATCGAGGTCAGTATCAAACCCAAATGATCACAGAAACAAATATTTACTCAGGTCAATATTTAACCAGGAGACAATAAATGCTGATATTCAACCAAATCTGACTCTAAATACAGTCTATTTATAATGTGTGCCTTTAAAGGGGTACTGCCAGGTACTTGCCAGGGGTTTTTGATTGATGATTGTCCTCCCCATTGTTTGCTGATTCCATGGAGTTTCATGCAGGTGCATGTATGAGAAAGAGGTTGTGCTGTGTAATTCCAGGACCTGGGCAGCAGTCACAACCGTTGTCCCATGTGTGCCTGAGCTTGGGAAAGGTCCTCACCCCATGGAGGGGTACCCCTTGCACATGGAGTGGGTGCCCTGATGTCCCCCATGCCTTGGACCCCTTGAACATCACAGGTTGTGCTGACCCTCATGGGTGAGCTGGTGTTTTTCTTCCAGTGCCTAAAGGGGCTGCAGGAAACCTGGAGAGGGGCTTGGGACAAGGGCCTGTACGGACAGGACAAGGGGAATGGCTTGAACCTGCCAGAGGGGAGACTGAGATGAGCTCTTAGGCAGAAGCTCTTCCCTGTGAGGGTGCTGAGGCGCTGGCACAGGGTGCCCAGAGAAGCTGTGGCTGCCCCATCCCTGGCAGTGTTCAAGGCCAGGTTGGGCACAGGGGCTTGGAGCAAGCTGCTCCAGTGGAAGGGGTCCCTGCCCGTGGCAGGGGTTGGAGCTGGGTGAGCTTTAACCCAAACCGCTCCATGATGATTCTGTGATCTTGCACCCCTCTCCCAAAGCTCTTTGCAGCTCCGTGGCTGGTGCTGGCTGTGACAAGAGTGAGCCCCATCTGGGGTCGATGCCTCCCAGTGCTGCAGAGCAGGACGAGGGGCTGTGGCCAGGCAGGGACCAGCACAAGGCTGGAAGCTGCTGAGTCCTCCCAGAGCCCTTTCCACCCCCCAGCTCCGGTCGCTCCCTTTGCCAACTCCACTGCTCATTGCCTGTTTCGCAAACATTGATTTCTGTCCTTGTTCTCTGCTGCTGCCCGCCTGGTGACAGCGTCTGATGTTTCTATGGCTGTTTGTTATCCATCAACTTCAGATTAGAAACCCTTCCATCACGGGAGAGGCACGTCCCACCCCCTGCCTTGACAGCCTCAGAGCCTAATGCTCTTCTAACGATGCTCGTGGGTGACTGCTGCCAAAGCAGCACCGTTGGCTTGAGCGCTGCTTCTCTTCTGTATCCTCCCAAGAGATGTTTGTCTTGGACTCTGTGTGTGTTGATCCATGTCCTGGTAACACCTCGTCCTGCCTTCGTCTGAGCAGGGGATAGAGATCTCCAATCCTGTGGCATTCAGGAGAATTGGCAGATGGTAGAGGAGGAGGATTCATGTTTGTGCCTACGAGCCACAGGAGAATCCACTCTGGAGAAGCCGGGGCTTCACTGTTTGGCTTCCTTCATCGAGCCACTGGCTTGCAAGGCTGGGTTTCACTGGTTTCACAATGTGGGTGCTCCACAGCAACAGCAGCAATTCCAGAAGCTGCTGCGCTCATCTTGCCCTCCAGGGAATATCGGTCCCAGGATTGGACGTGCCAGTGCTGAGTGTGACACAGTCCTGCTGGTCCAGTGCCACAAACTGGTGTGTGATGGCCTTGTCTGGAGTGGACAAAGTGCTTGTTCTAACCACTTCCCTTTCCCTGCTTGGTTTCCTTTTGGCTTTCCTTTCTCTGGTGAGTTGACAGGACCCTCCTCCATGGTCAGACATGGACACTATGACTTGAGGGAGGATATCACAGGAGTTGAGTGCCTTTGTTGTACAAAAGGCTGTTCTTACTGGCTTTCCCTTCCTGGCCAAACCAAAGATTCCACTTTGGACACCTCTAAACTCACAGAGGCTGTGCTGATTGCTCTGCCTGGATTTCTCCTCTGCTCACTTTTGCCTGAGCTACTGACCCATGGCTCCTATGAAGGCTGCTTGTTGATGTAGTTGGTGGAGTCTGGGCCATGCCCACCTCCAGAGCAAGTATGTTATCCTTGGTGATTGCAGTGGTGGCATTGACAGTGACTATAGGGGAGACAGCTAAAAGGCTCTCCAGCTAGAAGGCCATGGTGGGTATCTTGCAGTATTGAGATGGACTGAGCTCACTGGCTATGTGATAAGTTCAGCTCTTCTCAGAAAGGCAAGACAATGGTTAATTCCCAGCCTATGGCTGCAGACAGGGAGGAAGGGATGAGCTGATCCTGCCCGGTCATTGCTGTCTCATGTGAGCCCACAGCAGTGTCCTCAGCTGCCCTCTCCAGAGCTGCTAGGACCTGCCTGGAGCTGGCTGAGGAGCCCACAGAGACCCAGTGTCTATGGGACTTCCTCCTGCTGGGGCCCACTCTACCCTCAATTGCATCCTTTGTATTCGTGCTGCTTTCCATGCATGCGGATGGCTGCGGAGGGGAGGTTTCGCTGGTTTCCTGGTGGTGTTGACCCCAAAATGAGGGATCCAGCATCTGGACCCACTGTCTGCCTCAAGCATTACTTGCACAGGAGCTTGGCTGAAGCTTGCAGGTGATTCTGAAGCTGTTTCTTCCAGTTGATGGGGGTGATGGGACACAGCTTTCAAACCCCTTCCAGCTCTGACCTGCACATTTCATGTTTAAGCATGTCCTGGGCATGAAGACTACATGGAGACCTTCAGCTCACAGCATCCCCAGCCTGTTTGGTATCCATCTTCTCAAGGCCATGTAGTTCTGTGGTTGGCCTCACAATGAACATGCTCCATTTAGATGCAACTTCCAGCATATGAGCACCCCAAAAATGGGGAAATGGAGCCCACTGGGTTGGTTTTCCTGGTGTTCCACAGGAGAGAAGGAAGCCCCTGCTGGTCTGACACAGCCGGCTCCTCTCCTGCCTATGGGCACGAGGAAGCCAGAGGAAGAACATCCCTGCTCCTGGTTGCTGGGGGGGGTTGGTGAGGCCTCAATGGCCAGGGTGGCTGGGGGAGGCCTATGGAGGGTGGCTGGGACCCCAGGGGAGGCCACCCCACTAACGCAGCCCTGTCTGCCCCACAGCTGCACCCCCTGCGGATGGAACAGCGGATGCCGCCGCTCATTCTCGAGGTGAAGCCCTTTCCTCCTTCCTCCCTCTGCATCCCTCTGCCCCGCTGGTGACAGGTACCTACAGCCCCCAGGAGACCGAGCTGGGATGTCCCCACAGCCACCCGCATCCAGGGCACCTCCGCTCCCTCCTTCCAGTTGGGTGTCTTCCTCCTGCTCCTGGTGTCTCCATCTTCAAGGCCAGGTTGGACACAGGGGCTTGGAGCAAGCTGCTCCAGTGGAAGGGGTCCCTGCCCATGGCAGGGGTTGGAACTGGGTGAGCTTTAAGGTCCCTTCAACCCAAACCATTTGATGGTTCAGTGGTGTGTGCAAGCCACCACTGTGACTGTCTCCTTGTGTGTCTCTGTTAACTGGATCCCCACTGAGTGAATGGAGCCGTGAGTGAAAGCCAGACAGAGACACTTGCACTGAGGACGCTTGAGCTGGATCAAGTCAGCACTTAGTCATCCCCATGTGCAGGCTGTGGGCTGAGGGGTTGGTTTTGGATAGAGTGTTGGCTGGGAGGTGCTTAGGAGCATGGCTTGGTTCTAGGTGTCAGCACCCAGCACGAGCAGTGCCGGTGTGCACCAGGGCTTCGAAGGCATCTTTGGAACACAAACAAGCAAAGTGCCTCTTTCTCCCTCTTGGAAGGACACTGGGGCCCTTGAGGCCGTGTGGGACCTGTGGCATAACCACAGTGTGGGATCCATGGGTTCTGGTGTGCAGCTACAGGCAAGGTATCCCTCTGGCTACCCATCCTGTCCAGTGAAAGCCCATTGCTTCTGCTCTGCTGTCCAGCTGCCCCTCAGCATCCCCTTTCCCCAGGGGCTGCTCAGGATCAGGTGGCTTTATCAGGCTTTAATGGCATGGCAGGAAGAAGCCGTTGCAGGTAGGGGCTGATTGTGAGAGAAAGGAGGGCAGGAGACACTGAACAGGGGGACTCTGGCTGACAATGCAGGTTTTGGGTGTGAAATTAGGCCCTCTGTGCCTTCCTACATGAACATCCCTGCCCAGTCACCTGCTGGGTACGGACCCACTGGAGCTGTGTAGGTGGAGACCTTCCCTTGGGAGCTGAAGGTGAGAAAGTTAAATGCCAGAGATAAGGGAAGTGTGGAAGCAAAAGGCATCAACGCCTTCCCCTGCCCCCACTGCTGCCGAGTGGGTCACTTCATTGCTCAGGTATGAACGGCATCCGGAGCCTCTGGTGCTGCCTAGAGCAAGCTGACACCCCAGGCTAACGCTCCTGTGCCAATGTGGGTGCACAGGGCAGGAGCATGGAGCTCTGGAGCTTTGGTGGTGTTCTCCTTGGGCAGGAACCCAGCTGGACACTGCAGCAGAGAGGAGATCACAGAATCCCAGCCTGGTTTGTGTTGGAAGGGATCTCAAAGCTCATCCAGTTCCAACCCCTGCCACAAGCAGGGACACCTTCCACTAGAGCAGGTTGCTCCAAGCCCCTGTCTCCAACCTGGGCTTGAACACTGCCATTTACCACCTGTGTCAGCCTTGTGTAAGTTTTAACCCATTACCCCTTGTCCTATCACTACAGTCCCTAATGAAGAGTCCCTCCCCAGCATCCCTATAGGCCCCCTTCAGATACTGGAAGGCTGCTATGAGGTCTCCACGCAGCCTTCTCTTCTCCAGGCTGAACAACCCCAATGCCCTCAGCCTGTCTTCATACAGGAGGTGCTCCAGTCCCCTGAGCATCCTCAGGGGTTTGGACCACTCTGCCAGGACTGGGTTGAGTTCCTCCGATTTTCCTCCCTGCCTCCCATTGAAGCCTTGCCTTAGGGGTGTGCTGAGCCAGGGTTTCCTCACTGGAGCATGGTGGTAGTGTGCTGCACTGCCTCGAGCAGAGGTGGGGATGTGACACCAAGTGAGCCTGCAGAGCCAGCACATCGCTTCCTTTAATGAGGGCAGGGACTGTTCAGCTTCGATGAGGACTGGCAGGGTTTACCCACGGTGTGTACACACACCAGTGCAGCCAGCCCAGGGCAGAAAGCACAGTCCCAGGGCTCAGTTCAGTGCAACACTGAGACTTCCAGGTCCAGCATCCCTGAGCTTCCACCTGTGATGGAGAGGGTGTATCTGTGGCACGTCCCTGTGTCTGGGTGGGAGCCAGCTCACCCATGTGTTGCCAGTATGACCTGCAGAGGTGCAAAGGCTCTTTGAATTAGCTGGAAGCAGGGGTGATAGGTTTCACTGGAGCTCTCTTGGGTCCCGTCCAGCTTTGTTGAGAGCAGTGGAGTTGCAGCAGGGATGACTTCGTCCCGTTGCACTCCAGTGACATAGTTCAAGGCTGTAAAAGCCTCGGCTCAAGCGTGCAGGGTGTGGGGTGAGATCAGCACCGTAGCTCTGCCAGGGAAACCCAGTGGTTCTGCCAGCTCCTCTACATATGAATGAGTGTACAAGGGCTTTGCAATGAGCTTGACACATGGATAACCACATAATTAAAGGCTGTAGCTTTATAGAAGAGCATTAACGCTGGTATCTTTAACCACAAAGAGCAGAACTTGAGTCATCAAATGCCAGGGGATGAATTTCCTAGCGGATTGCTCCATCAGGTTGCTGAGTTATCGGGCCTGGATCCAGTGGGATGCCGCATCAGACATGAACCAGGAGGGGAAGCAACCTGGCAGGCGGTGATTGAGATGCAAGTCCTGTTAGCTTGGAGGGCCTGGGCTTGTACAAACAGCTTTACAAGACTAGAACTAAACCAAAGGTTAGGTGAGGGCTGAGTCACTTTACCAAGACAAGACAGGAATAGCATGTCTGGCGGTTTCCATTTTAGGCTCACAGTTCACTGAATTAGTGGCAACATCACTTAGATTTCTAGGTGCTATTGCCCAAATTATCCCCAATTAATTAAAGATATTGACTTATAATATTCTCAGTTAACTAAAGATACTGTCCTAGAATGAAATGCAATGCATCTCAGCCTGTGGAGTTTAAAGGAGACCACAGTCAGCACCTCTAAGGTGGGTTGCAGATCCAACACGCCCAAAGCATGAGGCTGGCTGGAGCAGTTTCTGATTCCATCCCACTTTTAGTGCTAAATTCTCTTGTTTATGTGACCAGAGCTTTGTACCTGAAGCTTGTGTCTCCTCTGTCAGGCTCATAACTGCACCCTCTGCCTTTGTTATCAGTGCTGGTGGGTAGCAGAGAAGTGGGACAGAGGACAGTGATTCACCCCTGGGGAGTCTGGCTGAGTCACAGACAAGCGAAACCACTGCAGCCTCTGGCTCCTTGCTGCTCTTTCCATTTCCTGCTCCCTTAAGTACCTGTTGAACATTGGACTCCCACCACCAGTGTGCCAAGGTCACAGATCCCTTCTCTCTGTTCCTTTGCCGTAGGCACGGTCCGAAATGGACAAGTACCTTTCAAACGAGGTGCCCCCCATCTCAATGCTGCCAGACAAGAAGTACCGCCGGGAGAGCGCCTCGGTGGTGGACGAGTTCTTCTCCACAGAGAAGCCGTCTTCCACCCCGTACAGCGTGAACATCAACGTCATCCTGCCCGACACGACGCACCTGCGCACGGGACTGTACCGGCCCCCCAAACCCATGGCTCCCTTCCCGCAGATCAAAACTGAGCCCGGCACCAGCTTTGCCCAGCCCTGCTCCTCTGCCTCCACGCAGACCCTGCCCGACTTCACCAGTGTCTTCAGCATGCCCCAGTCGGTGGCGGTGAACAACATCTTCATCAAGCAGGAGCTGCCCTCCGAGATCCCCTTGCCCACCAACCCACAGCAGCCCCAGCTTTACCAGATGCCTCTTGGCAATGGAAGTGCTGACATCACCTCCCTGACATCCTCCTCCAACACCACCACAGCCATCAACAGCCTCAGCGGTGTCACCATGTCCACAGGTAGCGCCATGTCCAGCGTGGTCCACAGGCCTGTCCAGCCAGTGAAGCAGTACCCACACATCTCCCAGGGACAGGGGAACTTCAGCATCTCAGGGCAGTTCTACCCTGCCCCAGGGGTGAACCTGCCCCCGTCACCCCCCAACTCACAGCCTGGAAGCCCAGAAAACCAGCCTGAGCTCATCAACACCATCTCTCCCCCTCCATCCTATGAAGCCACGTTTGGACTGAAGTTGGTCCAGTCATCCCAGGTCCCCCCAGTCCCCAATGGCCTTGGGACCCTCTCCCAGGGGCACATTGCCATGCAGCCCCCCAAATACAACAGACGCAACAACCCTGAGCTGGAGAAGAGGAGAATCCATCACTGTGATTACCCAGGTATGTTGATGGTGGGTGTATTGGCTTTGGGGTGGATGTATTGACACGCTGAGGCTGGGGCTGCCTTGGGGCTCTGCAGGAGTTTAATCTGAGATCACCTAGTCTGGATGAGGAAGAGAGCTCTATGGAGAGCTCCAGGGAAGTGGGATTCCTATGACACCAAGGAGGAGAAGAGTCCATCCCGCCTGCATTAGCTGATGCCTGTTTTCCACCGTTCCCTTTCTCCTGACTTGGAGAGGCAGAGAGTTCCTGCAAAGCACAGGGATGCGCCAGGAATTCCACTGCCTTAGCTGCCTGTTCCGCTCTGGTTTTGCCTAACCCTGAGCAACCACATGCTCTCTGCAGGTGAAACCATGCTGGCTTTCTCACTGACCTTCCTTTCCCACTGTCCCTTAATGGGTTGCAGACCAAACCCAATTAATCTCCATGAGCAGCCTTTATGGTCTCTGTATCTCCAAATCTCTTCTTCCAAAGAGGCAGTGAGTGGAATCTCTGCATCATGTCCTTTGGTGGCTTCATGTGCTGCATCAGGGTGGTGTGGAAAGGCATTTCAGGGTGATGAGCTGAAGCTGTTCCCTGTGCAGCACCTCATTACATGAGCATGTACACCTAAAGACCTGTGATGGTTGGGCAGGGGTTCCTGCACTGTGCGCACAGAGCTTGTGGGATTCACAGTTCCATGCTGCATGGGAGAGAAGGAATCGTGTCCTTAGTAAGAAGCCCCAGTGACAGCAGTGTGAGGGCTTGAGGATCACCAGTCCTTGTGCACACTCCCACTCCCTGGGCCAGCCCTGGCCATGGAGCTGATGGGGATGAGCAGCTTTCCACTGGGGTGTGTGAGGTGAGGAGAGTCATTTCCTCACTGCCTCCAGCAGGATTGTGGCACAAGGGTGGCTGCAGTAGGTCAGCCTGTCCAGCCCAGATCCTGTCTCCATCAGTGACCCCAGGAACTGTATAATAGGAGATGCTTAGAGAGATCTTTCTGTGCTTTCACCTTCCCACCCTTTGGCAACCTGCAGATGGGGGACTTTCTGAGCCAGAAGCTTCACCCATATTCTTGCAGTTAACAGCTTGTGCTGAATATTTTACCTCCTCCTGGTGGGAGACAGATTAAGGGTGTAAATAGAGCTGAGGCAGATCCCTCTGGCCAGAGCAGGAGTCCCATCCTGCAGGACACTTTACCAAGGCAAAACCTGCCTGTTTTCAGCAGGACTTTGGCCTGCACAGGAAAGCAGGAACACATCAGTGGTGCAAAAAGCATTGGCACTGTTCGGTGCCAGCAGCCTGCACTGAATAAACACTGGTGTGTACGTGCAGAGGCAGGGGAGGACGTCTAATCCTTCACTCTGAGGTTCAGGCAGAGGTGAACCATCAGGGCTGATGGCAGGGCAGCAGGTCTCACTGACATGAGGAGGTGATGGGAGGCACGCTGAATTCACACCAGGAACTGGAGGAACTGGGGAGACCTGTTTGCAAAGCCCTAGCCCCAGTATGCAGGAGGTGGCCCTGGTGCTTTTCCTTCTGTGTGCTGATGGGGAAGTGGAGCTCAGCCCTGCCATGCTCTGGGTACCTTCCACTAGAGCAGGTTGCTCCAAGCCCCATCTAACCTGGCCTTGAACACTGCCAGGGATGGGGCAGCCACAGCTTCCCTGGATGCATGCTTTCCTGGATGCATGTTTTATCCTGCCTCTAAGACCTGGTTGAGGATGGGGGGATTTGGAAGTCAGTACCTGACTCTTTGCCCTCTAATTCCCAGCACAATGCCCATGGGTGTCAGGATTGTGTGGCAAAGATGGAGTACTGTAAAGGTCCATCTGTCTTGGAGAGCAAATGCTCTTCAGTTACTGCCGTAACAAACGGGTTATTCGCATGCTGTGCTTTCCAGGCCTGCTCTGTCCCTAATATCAATGTTCTGGATTTGTTCTGGCCCTTTCTCACAGCTGAAGTTGGTTCCTTTGTGTGTTTACAGGCTGCTCCAAGGTTTATACCAAGAGCTCGCACCTGAAGGCCCATCAGAGGACTCACACAGGTAAGAGCACCACATCTGCAGCCAACGCTTCTTACAGGGATAAGATGTTGCTGATAATGTTGGTTACCTTGATCCAGCGTGGTTACTGGTGTAAGGAGTTCAGTCTGCTGGTATTAGCATTAGCAAGAGTCCAGTGGTTGCAGGGATTTCCAGTGGCTGTACTCTGCTGTGGGCACTTGTTGCCTTCGAGGAATGGTCTAGGATTTAGAACTCTTGGAGGCTCTTGAGCCAATGGGCTGGGAGAAGGAGATGCCTCTGAGCCCTTCCTTTGAGATCTCCCAAATCCCAGCCAGGTCTGATGCTGCTTAGCCCACGAAAAGATTGTGTGAAGGCATGTGGTGCATACAGATAACCTCTGAGGAGACAAGGGATGTTTCTTTTGTGTCAAGTGCCCCTGTGGTACCCAAGGAGAGGAAGGAACACGCTGTATCTCCTTGTGTACCAGCCACACAAACCACTTTTCCCCAGCGCTCATCCCTTTAGCAGCTGGTGGTGGTGTTATAACTGTGGCTACCAAATACACACACATGTACATATACAAATACATATACATATACAAATACATATACATATACATATGCAAATACATATGCATATACATATAGGGCTCCAAAGACACATATAAGAGAGCTGTGCTTCATTCCTGAGGGTGAAGGTGTCTTAAGCTGCCCTGGCTGGTGTAAACCGTGCCACCAGCACAAAGGAGCTCCCACCACAACCAGCTTCCCTGGGGTAAACCGAGCTCAGTGGCTCTTGTGCACTCAAGCAGAGGTCTTCTCATTAAGGCATTTATTATACCTGAAACTTTATCAGATCCCTGGGTATCCAGGAACCATCAGTGCCCTCATAAATCTCTTTTATAGAAGGGCTGATCTTTACTGAGAGCAATTAAGCTGGCCCAGAGTTCACTTTGCTGTTTTATGAACAACGAACAAACCCCATCCTGAGGCTGGGAATGGGCTCTTGCTCTTGGCTCTGCTCCGCTTCCCTCTTATCGCTCCTCCGAGCAAGCCAGCCAGGAATTCTGCTGTGTGCAGGAGGTACAGTATTGTGTTGGCAGGGGCTGCGCTGGGAGCAGGCTGGAGAACAACACGGGAAGGGTGGAAGAAGGGAACAGGAAGGACATTGTCCCAGCCCCGAGAGCTGGGTGGTGATAAGCATTTGTCACAGCAGCAATCTGTGCTCAGGGCTCTTGCTTTGAAATGAAATATCTCTTTTCCCTTTCCGTTTGGAGCACGGGTCTTAGCTTTGTGCCCAGAGGCGTGACCTGTCCGAGATAGGCACCAGCCTTACAAGTCACAACATAATGGTGTGTCCAGGCAATTGGATCCCAATAAAATGCAGTCAGTTTTCCAGGTTTCCCATTAACTGGGCTGGAAATGCTTGCCTCCTTCTGCTTTGCTTTCTTTAAGAGGGAAGGACAGAGAGGCCAAGGAGGATGTGACCTGAGTAGTCAAGAAACCTGGTAGTGTTGTGGGGCGGGCAAGAAGAAAGGAATCCAAACCAGAACCAAACACAGACAGGTTCAGGGTGTCTGCATCCAGTTTGGGGTTGGTTTGAAGTCTCAGCCCCTCTAAGCACAGCAATAGAACTGAGCTCCTGCCAGCTAAGTATGCTTGATGCCACCTCAGCTCCATCACTGGAAGGGTTAATAGCACCCTTTCTCACCATTCCTTGCCTGATGGCAGGAGGGCTGAGAAGTACATGATCTCCAAGATCTTTTCTTGTGGTTTGCCCGTTGCCATGGGCTGGGCTGTATTCATCTCCTGGAGACACCATTCATTTCCTGGGTGCCATTGTGAGATTAAATATATAACCCGGTGGCTGCTCACCCGCCTCCCGGGGGCTGGGAATGCCAGTTTGGGTCCTTTGTTTGAGCTTGCCCTGCCGTGCTGTCCTGGCAGATGGAGCCAGCTCGAGGGACAATGGAAAGCATTTTGTTTCTATCCTGGTGATCAACCTGTTATTGTTTGAACCTAAAAGGCCTTGGTAGGGCTGACCCAGCCAGGTGACCCGGCTGGGACAATGTCTGTGGCTGCACAGTGCAAATCCCGCCTTTGTCTTAGCATGCCAACACAAGCCTGAGGTCCCCAGTGTGCTGTAAAACACCCAGTGTGCTGCTTGTAAATGGGATTTAAGCTCTGTTAACCTGGGCTGTAAAAACAGCATCTTTCTGCTCCCTGTGGTGCAGAGCTTTTGAGGAGCAGATGCCCTGGTGCCCCATCTCCTTCAGGTTCATAGAACCATAGAATGGTTTGGGTTGGAAGGGACCTTAAAGCTCACCCAGTTCCATGCCATGCCACCTAGGATACAGGGACACCTCCCACTGGAGCAGCTTGCTCCAAGCCCCTGTGTCCAACCTGGCCTTGAGCACTGCCAGGGATGGGGCAGCCACAGCTTCCCTGGGCACCCTGTGCCACACGCCTGTGCCTTCATGGTCTATCCCATGCATAGCAGCCGCTGTAGACCTCTCTGTGGCTGAATGCTGTTTCCCAGCCGCACGCTCCATCTGCCTGGCACACAGGCTGCAGGAGGAGCAAGAAACATGTTGGAGCAGGATGCACATGCCCGTGCACGCGTGCTGCTGCGTGTACGTGCACTCCGGCCGCGATGTGCGCGCAGCAATGGGCTGCTGAGACGGTAAATATTTGAGGTCGGGGAAGTCAGCACATTCCCTGGCCCCTGCCTGCTTGTTCAGGCTGTTAAGAGCGAGGGCTAATATTTGAGAGCACCACACCCCTGCGAGGAGAGGGCTCAGCTCCACAGCCCGGGCACGCAAGCAGTTGGAAGCGGGTATGGGCTTTTCCAGCCCAGTTCCCAGCTGGCTGAGAAGTTAATGCATTGCAGTGCAGGAATAGGTGTGTATGGGTGGGAGGAGGGAGGGCAGAGGCATTACATCATCCACGGGCTCTGGAGAAAACACAGCGTTTTGTGTACGAGGAGCTGCTCCGGGGCTGAACTTTGATGCAGGGAGGGTTACACGGTGGTTGCAACGATGCTTTGAGGAAGATTTGTGTGGCATAAGGAAGAAGCTCTTCCCTGTGAGGGTGCTGAGGTGTTGGCACAGGGTGCCCAGAGAAGCTGTGGCTGCCCCATCCCTGGCAGTGTTCAAGGCCAGGTTGGACACAGGGGTTTGGAGCAATCTGCTCTAGTGGAAGGTGTCCCTGCCCATGGCAGGGGTTGGAACTGGAGGAGATTTAAGGTCCCTTTAACCCAAAGCAGTCTGGGATTCTATGACTCTAATCTGCTTCTTTCTCCTGATGCTCCCCATACCTGTATGCACAGCAACACCTTCCATAAGAATATTTGGCTTTTTAGTTAAAAAAACCCTCAGAAATGTTTTTAGCCAGAAATGCTCCAAAACCCAACAGGAACTTGAGCAGCATTAGAAACCCAGCCTAGAAAGTGTGTGTGTGTAGGCACATAGAATCATAGAACAGTTTGGGTTAGAAAAGACCTTCAAGGGTCATCTAGTCCAATCCTGCAATGAGCAGGGACATCTCCAGCTAGATCAGGTTGCCCAGGACCACATCCATGGGCAAGACCTGGTTATAAGGGCACATGGGCCTGCATGTAACCAAAGTTTATGGTTCCTTGGTGGCTGAGGACTGAGCACAGCAAAAGGGGACCCTGTCACCAGCCCTGTCCTGCGGGGTGGATGCTTGGGGGGCTCTTGGAGCACCCGTGACCTGTGGCTGTTCCCCGCAGGTGAGAAGCCCTATAAATGCACCTGGGAAGGCTGCGACTGGCGCTTCGCCCGCTCCGACGAGCTGACCCGGCACTATCGGAAGCACACGGGTGCCAAGCCCTTCAAGTGCCTCGCCTGTGGGCGCTGCTTCTCCCGCTCCGACCATCTGGCTCTGCACATGAAGCGGCACCAGAACTAGGACCTGTCCCCGTTCACCTCTCCAAGAGCAGCTGAAACTCTTCATTCTTTCCCAAGGGGACCTCTCCTCTTCTTGTATGTAAGAACAAACCCATGCTGTGATCAACTGGAGGGGCAGGGGTAGGGGATGCCCCCTCTATAGCCCTGTCCCCAACTGCTTCTGGTTTTAAAGGAAATCTTCTTTCTAAAGAGCTATAATTAAAGACTTGATCTCATGACGAGGCTCCTGGCAGCACTGGGGTGATGGACCTTGGATTCCAAAGGGTTTTCTTCCAGCAAACCTGCTATTTATTTGTCACTCACATCTCGAGCCCTTTGGGATGTCTTTTACCCCTTTCAGGGCTGTGCCTTTGGTGAGCTGAGGAGGGTTGTGATGGTTCGTAACCTGTGACAAGGTCTCACTTCAGACTGGTTGGTGCAAGCCCCTTGGACTGCCTCATGGATGTGGCACCACCAACATGCAAGCACAGGAGCACATGCCCGAGGCTGGTTGGGTTGAGCATCCCGATCACTGGTGGTGGCCATAGAAGAAAGGGGCTATGATGTACTCACCTGACGTGCCTTCAAGCAAGGGACTGCACAAAACTAGACGACAGAAGCCATCATCTGTGTCTCACTGAGCCCACCTGAGGTGTCCTGGCAGCCAGCTCTCTCGGGGCTGCAAGTACCTGGCCAGGTTCTTTGGTTGCGTCCTTAGCATTTCTGCTTCCAAGATGAGTTTTGACTTCGGGTGTCTCTGGGAGGACCAGAATGAGTCTTGAAGCCACCCAGAGGACTGCAAAAAGCCACTTATAAAGTTCTGGTTTCCATGAATACACTGTGCCTTTCTCTAAAAGCACTGGGCAGCTGCTCATGCCTTGACCACGCGCACAAGTCATCACCAACCACACTCGTTCTGCTGTTGCTATTTCATCCCATTCAGCCAGAAAAGAAGAGGAAAAAAAAAGGGTTTTGAAGCAAATTCCAATAAATCCTGCTGTTGAGATTGTAATGACGTTACCTACCTCACAGGTTCACCACGCCTCAGGCTCTGTAAGGCACCATCCCTCTCCTGTGGGGTGCCGTGATGCATGGGGCACATCAGCCATCCTTCACAGTCTAGCAGGGGTTAAGCTGAGGCTTAAGAACCAGGCCAGGCCAGTTTAAACAGCAGCCATGCAGGCCATAAATAAGTCAGGGACAAATAATGGGCCCAGTGTGTTCAAGAGAATATTGATTTCCCCCTCACCAGCCTCCTCTCTTATCCTTCCTCCAGCAAGTTGAAGTGAACGCGCAGACCCATGGGTGCCTGCGGTGGGACACGAACTGTGGCACCTTCAGGTGGTGGAATCTGGAGGCCACCTCTCTGCTATTGCCAAATTGCACCTTGGCCAAAACCAGCCCCTGGGCTCCTGGCTGTGCTTTGCCTTGGATGAATGAAACTGAGCACACCTACATGTGGCTGGTCTGGTGTTGGGGGTGCATGGCGTGGTGTAGGCTTTGGGATGGATGATGCGCTCAGGGCTGGTGCAGGGCTGCAGCGAGTGGTTCTTTGGCAGGAATCCTCCTCGCTTCTCTGTGCCACCAGGGAGGATTAGAATGGAGGGGTGAAGTGAGGACACTGAGTTCCCATGGGAAGGGCTGTCAGAACCTCAGCACTAGGGCCTTTGCCTGCTGGCTGGAGGGTTCAATGACAGCACCCTCTTGACACCGTGATCAAGTGAGGATGGGAGAGTCTGGCTCATAAATCAGTTCTTGTTCACTACATCTATGTCCTCCATGTCCTTTCCCTAACTCTGTCATTGCTTGTTGTCACAGCTCGGTGAGGATTGGTGGGTGCTGGAGCAAATGGGCCTGTTTGCCACCTGCCGTGGCTGTAGCATCTGTCTCCTTTTCAGGATACACCTTGCCAATGGCATCACCATGACCTGGACTCCTTCATTCTCCCACCTCACCTTGGAGGTTGGGTTGAGCCATGTAAGTGAGTAGGGTGTGCAGTGCCATCTCCCTCCCCCAAAACAGGGGGGTCGGAGTGGTGCATGGCCTGAAGCCTGTGTGCAGGGGCAGTTTTACCTCTTGCTTCTGCCTAGAGATGGGTCTGCAGAGCCTCAGGGAGGTCTCTGGTTATGGACAAACAGTGGTGGTGCAGGTGTAGGGACGTGCGTGTCTGCTGCCATGGGCTGGTTGAGCTCATGCCAAAGGCATTCCAGGGTGGTGTGGAGATGCCTCAGCCAGTCCCAGCTGGTGTCTCCAGGAAGCTCAGTGGGGCTGGTGGGGATCCAACGGGGCCATGCTTGGACCTGCCGAGCTCTCCCTTGCTCCATTGGCACCAGATCACCTCCTCCATGGCTGAGTCCTGGCATGGTGAGCCTGCAGCAGCACCATCCCTGCATCCCCCGCAGCAGCCCCCATGACCCAACAGCAGCCTCCATGCAGGAAGGTGAATTTTGGGGTGCATCTGCTGTGGCTGAACCTCCTAACCATGTGAGCCAAACTACAGAGCACAGGGTCAACCCAGTCACCACGTGTGCCATCAGCTTGGGCATGGGGCTAACCCTTACCCATGGCCCTCCCCAAGGGGTTGGTCTCATTGCCCCCTTCTTATTTATGAGAAGGAAACCTGTGCTTTCCCCCCATTTCCATCTCTGCCTCCTTTGCTGTGCTGATGGAGCTCAAAACCCATTTGTTGACCACTAGTACAAAGCCAAAGCAACCAACTGGCAGCTTTAATTCTTAGGGGAATTTTGCTGATGATCTTGGGTTTTTTCAGTACAGCAAAATGCATCTGCTCTTCCTCACATAGACTCTGTGTGTGTATATATGTGTATATAGATATATATATATTTTGTTTGATTTGATGAGGACAGAGGAAGAAGTGTCTCAACACAAACCCACCGCCTGCTGCCCAGGCAGCACCGCTGCTCTGGATGCAAAACACCAACATGCAAATGCTTTACGAGTGCAAAGGCAACACCTTAAAAACCAAAGAGGAAACCTGGAGCAAGGCTTGGGTTTTATTTCCCTGTTTGTGGGTGTGTGGAAGAGGACAACCTTGCATTTCATTGCAGGTTTGGTGGCTATTCCCCAGGAGATGGGGAATGATGCTGATGAGCGAAGTCCCTCTTTGCTAAGGGGGTGGATGGCTCAGAACTGAGCAACATAGCTGGGGTGTGCGACCCTTAGAATCCCAGCCTGGTTTGGGTTGGAAGGGACCTTAAAGCTCACCCAGTTCCAACCCCCTGCCATGGGCAGGGGCACCTTCCACTGGAGCAGCTTGCTCCAAGCCCCTGTGTCCAGCCTGGCCTTGAACACTGCCAGGGATGGGGCAGCCACCACCCCAGCTGAATCCCTCCATCCCCTGGGACACTGGGGTGACAGGGACATTGGAAGGGGTTTGCCAGCCTCTGCTTGGTGCAGAACAAACACCAGGCTGCCTGTGTATCATAGCAGGGACATAAATCACTGTAAATAGGAGAAGAGCACGTATCGCTGCGCGGGTTTGTGCGGGTTGAAGTGATGGAGACGAACACAATGTGACAAACAAACATAATTGGGACCTGGAAAACTTGGGTGGAAGATTTATTTTTCCGGTGATGCTTTTGTTACGTTCCCCACCCCTGGAACTCCCCCACAGCTATTAATCTAGCTCCTGTTTTGTAATAAAACGTTATCACGTGGAGACGTGGTCTTTCTTCTGTTCCCTCCTGAACCGCTCTTCTTGCCTTGACCCGCTGCTGCCTGTGCCTGGGTTGATTTTACAGGCTTAAGGAAAGGGTAAGAAGCTTTTTTATTAGGGTGGATTAGGAAAGTGGGAATTGGAGCGGGGAAGGGTGCGTGCAGGGTGTAAGCCTGGAGCACCGGGCAACGCTCTGAGTGCTGTTACGTGGCCTAAGCTGATGCTTTGGAGGAATGTTGAGCCCTTTCTCAAGCTGGTGTTGCAATGCTGAGCAAAGAGAGAGGAGGGGCAGGACTTGGGGTTTAATCCCCTCCACCTTTCCTACGAGGAGCAGGGGACACAGGAGGAAGTGTAGGGCTGGGGACGTGGTGTCCAAACCCCCCCTCTGTGTACTTTAGTGTGTGTATATGTACACACACCGGTACATATGCAAACAGCCAGGAGGGGTTCAGCCAGGGCTGGTGAGCTCATGCCTGCTGCATGCATGCACCTGCACAAACACCTACAGCTACAACTACACACACGCATCTCTATACACACAGGCTGAACTAAATGTCTCTTTTTAAGCCTTTCCTGGCAGGATCCCATCTGCTTTCTCCAGTGGCTCCTTTGCTATGCTTGCAGGATCATGGCAACCCCAACAACTCTCTATTGTCTTCCACAGGTCTTGCTTTTATCTACATTTTTAATGTAGAAAATCCTCTTTCTTTACTCACTAAGTTCCCTCAGCTCACACGTTGTTGTGGTGCTGGATGACTTCTTTGACATCCTTCTCCTGTGGCTTCTAGACCCTGTTGCTGGTCCCCAAGCATCGCACTGATTTACTTTCCAAGCCTTTCTCCTCCCTCGGTTGTTCCCACATTTTACCATCACTTGCAAAATAACCTGGGGACCCAGATGGCATTAAGATCATGGGGCCAGGGAGAGCAGGACATGGAGCCACAAACCTTCCCTTGCTGCCATGTCCCTGCAGCTGGGGAGTTTTGCTGCAGATCCCACACAGATCCAGAGGGAAGGATCCAGTGTTTGGTGCTGGGTGCCCCATCCTCATGCACGGGGATGTCAGAGCCACTTGTGGTGCAGGGAGGGAGGTTTGGGGCTGGGAAGGAGACAGGGGCTGATGGCTGGGGACTGAGGAAAGGCTTGTGGACATCCCCATGGAGCCATCACGACTGACTGCTGGGGACCACGCACCTCCTTTGGAGCCACCTCCTGCTCTTCAGGTACCTGTGGAAGCTCATGTTGGATGCATGGTCTCACGGATGCTGTTCCTCTTCCCTAAACACATTCCCATGGAAGGAGCCATCACATGCTCGAACCCCATCCTGCCCCCAGCCCTTTGGCTCCGCTGTGCTCCGGACTTTGCTCTGTCAGCGCGGCCAGGCTGTTCCTGCTCAGATCCACAGCGATAAGGAGTAACGGGAAGACGTGCCCTGACGTCAGGAGAGTCCAGAGAGTGGCTGCTTTATGGCATGTGAAACTGAGGTGTCCTTCCTCGATGGAGCTGCGGCAGGAAAAACCCCGGGGAGGGCACTGGAGGAGAGCCTGGATGGGGCTGCCACG